GGATTCACTGGGGGCAGACTCGCTGGCCTCGGCGTAGAGGGTGGAAAGGACGGCAAGCACACCACCGGCAAGAAGGGTACGGCGCATCATGATTGGTAGATAGTTGGTTTGAGAAGTAAAAAACGGAAAAACTACAGGGGGTAAGAGAAGGGAAGAAGAGAAATATGGGAAAAGGACGCTACGGCAGTCGCACACCGTAACAAAGAACAGAAACAGTTTTCAGGGGACAGACACACCTCCATCACGCAACACCGGCAGCAGCCACAGAGGGCACACGAGTCCCACTACCCAGAACAGTCAAGTGCGCACTGTCGTCGCATCAACCACCCTTGAGCAACAACCGCAAACAGCGCGGAGGCTGCACACAAGACACGGCGCCCCGGTACATTCTCTACAATTCGGAAAGAGAGAGAGAGAGAGAGAGAGAGGGGTATTGTGGAAACAGTCGAACGTACTCGGAAGCCAATTAGTCAAAGTCAAATCAAGGGCGGGACACTCGTTTAGTATGTTTGTCACTTGTATATATATATTCGAATTTTAACACTTAACATATTCAAAAAAAAACACGTTACCATAATAAAAAAAAAGGTAAATTAAATCACTTCGACATCCATTCATGATGAAAGGCGAGTGAACGCCGTCTACAGGCGTTCCTCGGTCGAAGCGGTTGACGGAGGTTGCGGCAGGCAACGGGGCATTCGTCCTTCCGGTCAACACCGCATTACGACAGAAAAAAGTCTACAATGAAAATTAAAGGAGAAGGGCCCTTGTCTATCGGTCAATGGAATCATTGCGTAGGGACTCAGCGACAGACGGCGTGCCAAGTAACGCACCCAAGGATGAATTACTAAAGGGGAACACGCGTCCTCCTCTTCCGTTGGTTCTTCTTCACAGGGGATTACGCCACGGCGGCCATCATGGCGGCGGCCAGGGACGCAATCAGGGCGGCGGCGGTCGTGCTGGAGAGAATCGCAGCATCACCCCCGGGGCCCTTGTGCTCATTAGAGTCGTCAGCCTTGGACTCGCTGGGCTCGGCAGCACCTTTGGACTCGCTGGGCTCAGCAGCACCCTTGGACTCGCTGGGCTCAGCGGCACCCTTGGACTCGCTGGGCTCAGCGGCACCCTTGGACTCGCTGGGCTCGGCAGCACCCTTGGACTCGCTGGGCTCGGCAGCGGCATGGGATTCACTGGAGGCAGACTCGCTGGCCTCGGCGTAGAGGGTGGAAAGGACGGCAAGCACACCACCGGCAAGAAGGGTACGGCGCATCATGATTGGTAGATAGTTGGTTTGAGAAGTAAAAAACGGAAAAACTACAGGGGGTAAGAGAAGGGAAGAAGAGAAATCTGGGAAAAGGACGCTATGGCAGTCGCACACCGTAACAAAGAACAGAAACAGTTTTCAGGGGACAGACACACCTCCATCACGCAACACCGGCAGCAGCAGCAGCAGTAGCAGCAGCAGCCACACAGGGCACACGAGTCCCACTACCCAGAACAGTCAAGTGCGCACTGTCGTCGCATCAACCACCCTTGAGCAACAACCGCAAACAGCGCGGAGGCTGCACACAAGACACGGCGCCCCGGTACATTCTCTACAATTCAGAAAGAGAGAGAGAGAGAGAGGGGTTATTGTGGAAACAGTCGAACGTACTCGTCAAAGTCAAATCAAGGGCGGGACACTCTCCGCTCTTTTCGTGACGCCGCCGATTGTTTGATGTAGTTTGTCGAATTTTTATACTTATGTTACCACTTTTTGTCGAATTTTGAGGTTTGATTTAATAAAAATGAAAAAAACAAAACAATCACTTCAACGTGACCAGGAAAACAAAAAGAAAACAGAATACTGCGACACTCGTTTACAATGAAAGGAGTGAACGCCCTCCACGGGCGTTCCTCGGTCGAAGGGGTTGACGGAGGTTGCGGCAGGCAACGGGGCATTCGTCCTTCCGGTCAACACCGCATTACGACAGAAAAAAGTCTACAATGAAAATTAAAGGAGAAGGGCCCTTGTCTATCGGTCAATGGAATCATTGCGTAGGGACTCAGCGACAGACGGCGTGCCGAGTAACGCACCCAAGGATGAATTACTAAAGGGGAACACGCGTCCTCCTCTTCCGTTGGTTCTTCTTCACAGGGGATTACGCCACGGCGGCCATCATGGCGGCGGCCAGGGACGCAATCAGGGCGGCGGCGGTCGTGCTGGAGAGAATCGCAGCATCACCCCCGGGGCCCTTGTGCTCATTAGAGTCGTCAGCCTTGGACTCGCTGGGCTCGGCAGCACCCTTGGACTCGCTGGGCTCAGCAGCACCCTTGGACTCGCTGGGCTCAGCGGCACCCTTGGACTCGCTGGGCTCAGCGGCACCCTTGGACTCGCTGGGCTCGGCAGCACCCTTGGACTCGCTGGGCTCGGCAGCGGCTTGGGATTCACTGGGGGCAGACTCGCTGGCCTCAGCGTAGAGGGTGGAAAGGACGGCAAGCACACCACCGGCAAGAAGGGTACGGCGCATCATGATTGGTAGATAGTTGGTTTGAGAAGTAAAAAACGGAAAAACTACAGGGGGTAAGAGAAGGGAAGAAGAGAAATATGGGAAAAGGACGCTATGGCAGTCGCACACCGTAACAAAGAACAGAAACAGTTTTCAGGGGACAGACACACCTCCATCACGCAACACCGGCAGCAGCAGCAGCAGTAGCAGCAGCAGCCACACAGGGCACACGAGTCCCACTACCCAGAACAGTCAAGTGCGCACTGTCGTCGCATCAACCACCCTTGAGCAACAACCGCAAACAGCGCGGAGGCTGCACACAAGACACGGCGCCCCGGTACATTCTCTACAATTCAGAAAGAGAGAGAGAGAGAGGGGGTTATTGTGGAAACAGTCGAACGTACTCGTCAAAGTCAAATCAAGGGCGGGACACTCTCCGCTCTTTTCGTGACGCCGCCGATTGTTTGATGTAGTTTGTCGAATTTTTATACTTATGTTACCACTTTTTGTCGAATTTTGAGGTTTGATTTAATAAAAATGAAAAAAACAAAACAATCACTTCAACGTGACCAGGAAAACAAAAAGAAAACAGAATACTGCGACACTCGTTTACAATGAAAGGAGTGAACGCCCTCCACGGGCGTTCCTGGGTCGAAGGGGTTGACGGAGGTTGCAGCAGGCAACGGGGGCATTCGTCCTTCCAGTCAACATCGCTTTACAAGAAAGAAAAAAAAAAATTAAGTTTTAAAAAGAAAAAAAAATTCGCTCAAAGGCAAACGCACCGGCACGAAGGGTCAAATGGACTCCGCGATCGGTTCGTACAAGACGAGCCAAAAGGCGCCTCATTTCCTGCTCCTTCCACCGGGCAGTCCGCCAATTTTATATATATAAATTTATTCTCAGATTTTTCCTATTTTTGACGTTTAAATTATTAAAAAACAAAACAGAATACTGCGACACTCGTTTACAATGAAAGGAGTAAACGCCCTCCACGGGCGTTCCTGGGTCGAAGGGGTTGACGGAGGCTGCGACAGACGGTATGGGTAGCGCCCCTCCAGTCAACATGGCTTTACAACAACAAAAAAAAAAAAATTAAGATTTAAAAAAAAAAAAAAAAAAAGTAAGCAAAAAAAATTCGCTCAAAGGCAAACGCACCGGCACGAAGGGTCAAATGGACTCCGCGATCGGTTCGTACAAGACGAGCCAAAAGGCGCCTCATTTCCTGCTCCTTCCACCGGGCAGTCCGCCAATTTTATATATATAAATTTATTCACAGATTTTTCCCTAATTTTGACGTTTAAATTATTAAGATTGAAAAACAAAACAAAAGGTAATCAGAATGTCACAACATTCGTTTACAATGAAAGGGGTTGACGGAGGTTGCGGCAGGCAACGGGGGCATTCACCCTTCCCGTCAGTGTGGTTTAACAACAAGCGGAAAACGTTTGCACCTTAAATTAAAGAAGAAGGACCCTTGTCTATCGGTCAATGGAATCATTGCGTAGGGACTCAGCGATAGACGGCATGCCAAGTAACGCACACAAGGATGAATTACTAAAGGGGAACACGCGTCCTCCTCTTCCCTTGGTTCTTCTTCACAGGGGATTACACCACGGCGGCCAACATGGCGGCGGCCAGGGACGCAATCAGGGCGGCGGCGGTCGTGCTGGAGAGAATCGCAGCATCACCCCCGGGGGCCACGGGAGCCCCAGAGCTAGAGTCGCCAGCACCCTTGGAGCCGCTGGGCTCGGAAGCAGCCTGGGATTCGCTGGGCTCAGAAGCAGCGTTAGAATCGCTGGGCTCGGCAGCAGCCTGGGACTCGCTGGGCTCGGACGCAGCGTTAGACTCGCTGGGCTCGGAAGCAGCCTGGGATTCGCTGGGCTCAGAAGCAGCGTTAGACTCGCTGGGCTCGGAAGCAGCCTGGGATTCGCTGGGCTCAGAAGCAGCCTGGGACTCGCTAGGCTCAGAAGCAGCCTTGGACTCGCTGGGCTCGGACGCAGCCTGGGACTCGCTGGGCTCAGAAGCAGCCTTGGACTCGCTGGGCTCGGACGCAGCGTTAGACTCGCTGGGCTCGGACGCAGCGTTAGACTCGCTGGGCTCGGAAGCAGCCTTGGACTCGCTGGGCTCGGACGCAGCGTTAGACTCGCTGGGGTCAGAAGCAGCCTTGGACTCGCTCGGCTCAGAAGCAGCCTGGGACTCGCTGGGCTCGGACGCAGCGTTAGACTCGCTGGGCTCGGAAGCAGCCTTGGACTCGCTGGGCTCGGACGCAGCGTTAGACTCGCTGGGCTCAGAAGCAGCCTTGGACTCGCTGGGCTCGGACGCAGCGTTAGACTCGCTGGGCTCGGACGCAGCGTTAGACTCGCTGGGCTCGGAAGCAGCGTTAGACTCGCTGGGCTCGGAAGCAGCCTGGGACTCGCTGGGCTCGGAAGCAGCCTGGGACTCGCTGGGCTCGGACGCAGCGTTAGACTCGCTGGGCTCAGAAGCAGCCTTGGACTCGCTGGGCTCAGAAGCAGCCTGGGACTCGCTGGGCTCGGACGCAGCGTTAGACTCGCTGGGCTCAGAAGCAGCGTTAGACTCGCTGGGCTCGGAAGCAGCCTGGGACTCGCTGGGCTCGGAAGCAGCCTGGGACTCGCTGGGCTCGGAAGCAGCGTTAGACTCGCTGGGCTCGGAAGCAGCCTGGGACTCGCTGGGCTCGGACGCAGCGTTAGACTCGCTGGGCTCAGAAGCAGCCTTGGACTCGCTGGGCTCAGAAGCAGCCTGGGACTCGCTGGGCTCGGACGCAGCGTTAGACTCGCTGGGCTCGGAAGCAGCCTTGGACTCGCTGGGCTCGGACGCAGCGTTAGACTCGCTGGGCTCGGAAGCAGCCTTGGACTCGCTGGGCTCGGAAGCAGCCTGGGACTCGCTGGGCTCGGAAGCAGCCTGGGACTCGCTGGGCTCGGAAGCAGGGTTAGACTCGCTGGGTTCGGAAGCAACCTTGGACTCGCTGGGCTCAGAAGCAGCGTTAGACTCGCTGGGCTCGGAAGCAGCCTTGGACTCGCTGGGCTCGGAAGCAGCCTGGGACTCGCTGGGCTCGGAAGCAGCCTGGGACTCGCTGGGCTCGGAAGCAGCCTGGGACTCGCTGGGCTCGGAAGCAGCCTGGGACTCGCTGGGCTCGGAAGCAGGGTTAGACTCGCTGGGTTCGGAAGCAACCTTGGACTCGCTGGGCTCAGAAGCAGCCTGGGACTCGCTGGGCTCGGAAGCAGGGTTAGACTCGCTGGGCTCGGAAGCAACCTTGGACTCGCTGGGCTCAGAAGCAGCCTGGGACTCGCTGGGCTCGGAAGCAGGGTTAGACTCGCTGGGCTCGGAAGCAACCTTGGACTCGCTGGGCTCGGAAGCAGCCTTGGACTCGCTGGGCTCAGAAGCAGGGTTAGACTCGCTGGGCTCGGAAGCAACCTTGGACTCGCTGGGCTCGGAAGCAGCCTTGGACTCGCTGGGCTCGGAAGCAGCCTGGGACTCGCTGGGCTCAGAAGCAGGGTTAGACTCGCTGGGCTCGGAAGCAACCTTGGACTCGCTGGGCTCAGAAGCAGCCTGGGACTCGCTGGGCTTAGAAACAGCTTGGGACTCACTGGGCTCAGAGGCGACTTGGGATTCACTGGGGGCGGGCTCGGCCTTCGCGTAGAGGGTGGAAACGGCGGCAAACACGCTGCCCGCAAGAATAGTACGGCGCATCATGATTGGTAGATAGTTGTCTTGAGAAGTGAAAAGCGGAAAAACTACAGGGGGTAAGAGAAGGGAAGAAGAGAAATATGGGAAAAGGACGCTACGGCAGTCGCACACCGTAACAAAGAACAGAAACAGTTTTCAGGGGACAGACACACCTCCATCACGCAACACCGGCAGCAGCAGCGCGGTGCCGTTTGAGGGCCAGCTCCACCACGTCACTGGTGATGCATTCTATTTGAGCGGTGCATTGGGCCAAGGGAGCAGCAAATGTAGAGGCCACCGTATCGCTCGCGGTGGCGGGGATCGTGCCGTCCGTACAGGGCGGCTCTACACGGATTGGGGAAGGTGGGGGCAACCATTGCCTGGCGCTCGTCAGCCGTGCCCTCACCGCCTGCAGGGCAGAGGGCGGCGCGCCACAGGAGTCCTCACGGCCACAGTACTCTTTTAAAAGAGTGTAGAAACACTGACGGGTGTGGGTAAACTCATAAGGAGGGTGGTCCGGCGTGTTCCGGGGGTGGGGGAGAAGGAGAGAGTGGCGAGACGCCTCGCCGTGCATGGGCACCAACACCACACGGCGGCCGGGGCGCCCAGCGTGGTCGGTGTGACGGTGATCGTGCAACGTCATGAGGATTGCGGTGTCGTCCCGCCAGTCGTCGTCCAGGAGGGGAACAAACAAGCTCAAATCGAACCGGATAAACCCACCCAGCTGAAGCTCAGACGCAGCGACGGCATAGCCGTGTTTGGGCGCCCCTCTCTCCAGCGATTCCAGTGGGGTGCCACCGACTGGGGTGACCACCGCGATAAACTGTTTCCACCGGGCAGAGCCGTACTGGCAGAAGAGCGTATCTTCCTCCCTGTAATAGGGGCGGATACACGGGCCGCCCCACCGCCCGAGGAGCTCCAGCAGAGGGGTGAGGCAGGACTGATTGAGGGCGAGCCGTACCAGCGTTCGTGTCATCCGTAACTTGGTGTTGGGGTCGGGGTGGGCGGAGGGGAACAGCCCTTGGGTGACGGAGAGGAGCTGCTGTGCGAAGAGGTAGCGGTGCAGCACGGAGTTCTCCTCCAGCAGCGGGGGCGTGGAATTCACATAGATGCACGACGCCCCCTCCCTCTCCATGTGCCCCCGGATACGCTCCGTTAGTTGGAACGTCCCGTCGTGAAAAACGTCCCACAGATGGGAAACTTTTTTAATGCGTGCGGAGAGGAGTTTTAATAACTCGGTAATGAACAACTCGACGGTGTCGGCGACCTCAAGTGATGCTGGGGTGTCCGCCCCCTCCAGCACCAGCAGAGCTTCGGGGAAGGCGTTGGTGACGCTCCCCTCCTTGTGCTGCAGTAGGGAGAGGGTGGTACTCTCCAATACCGTGAACATAACAGGAGAACACACGATAGGGGTGATGGAATGGATTAGATTTTTTTTTTTTTGAAAAAAAAAAAAAAAACAGATGAAGTGGAATACACGAAGTGCGTGTGTGTATATATCTGTGTGGGTTTGTGTTTTTGCTTTATACAGAGAGAGAAGACAATGCTGGCTAAAGTAGCATTCTCTGCCGCTGCTTTGCGGAGGTTTGGCTTTTTTTTTTTCTTTTCCTTACTTTTTTCTCATTCAAAAACGAAAATTATGAAAAGAAAAAGGGAAAGGGCAATTTAGAGACCAGAAAATCTATTTTCACTTAAAAAAAAAAAAAAAAAAAACCTAGTATTCGTGTCTATTCACAAACAAACAAAAACACAATCCCCGAAGATAATTCTCATTCTTTCTATACTCCAACTATTCATAGCAGTTCCCCCAGCGCCCCCTCCACACTTCCGTCGTGCCTCGCCAGTGCCTCCATGAGCACCTGATCGGGCAGATGCCGCTGATCCTCTACATTTAGTATCTCCCTCAACTGTTGTATTTGCTGGGTGTAGAGACGCCTGTCCTGGTTGGGCCGCTGGGCGGGATGATGGGTTTGCAAGTTTTTTGGCAAAACGTGTGTCACCTTCTTTTTCTCGCCGAATAAAAAATGAAAGCACAGAAATTTCAACAAGAAGGAATTTAACACTTTTTTTTGAAATGTTCGCCGTGAACCAATCAAAATAACGAAACAGCGTCGAATTATGACTATTATTATTATTAAAACAGTTCACGTTACACGTAAAAAGCGAAAAAAGGTAGCCGCACAGGACGAAAAACAATCGAGTTAGAAATGTCAATTCTATTCTTAGGGAAGACCGCCCTCTTCCCCTTTTATTCATATTATTATTCCTATTTTTACCAAAGAACACACTATTATTATTATAAGTAGAATACAGCTCCGACTCGTGAGAGAAGAGCAATAACAATAACAAAAAGTAGGATCGAGAAAACACACTTTTTAAAACATTGCTATTTTTACTATTTTGGGGGGTCTCCATAATGTAGCGAAACACAAAGGAGGAAACCACAATGAGGGAGGCACCGCCGGAGAGTAAGTGAATGTACTGACGGTTGTAATTATGAAACAACATGAACCGCAAAATTTGACTCGTACTATCCGTTTTATGATAATCGGAGGAGTAAAAGTAAAAGTAAAACGACGTGGAGGCATCCAAGTCGGGGGAAATGGTCAAGGAATTCACATTCGTAGGATTATTTAGCCAATCCTCTGGGATAGAAAATGGTTTCACCACGAGCAGATGCATCACCAGCAGGGCGAACACCGCCGCGTGGACCAGCACGGTAAAGAAATAATAACTACCCCACACCCTCTCCAGCGAGCGAACGTAAAACAAAAAGATAAATACTTTAATGGCAATCTCATACACGCTGGTCCCCAAGAAACCAAGGGGGAGTACCTCCAGCAGCATTCTGGACCACTTAAAGTTAGAGGGTAGGTCGCTCGCATGGGGGGCGCTGGACAACACCAGCAGCGGGTCCGCCTCCACCTGTGTTTTGAGTTTCTGGATGTAGTAGGGGAGGAGAAACAACGTGGAGAGACAGGAAAGGAGCACCGTCAGCCCGACGACAGGGGCGTTGGTGAGGTGGCGGAGCATTTTTTTGCAATTCCTTTATTTTTGTGATTCTTTTTGTCGGAAAAAAAAAAAAGAGAAGAAAAACAAATATTCTCATCTGACTTTTTTTTTTTTTGAAATGCACACAGAAAAAAAAGAACGCAAAAAAAGGGCGCGCGTATACACTAAATGTTTTATGTTGCCTGTATGTTACAATAGTTTTGTTTTTTGCATCTCTACCCTAAATGGAGTGTCGCTTATACGGCTGCAGCTCCCGCCGCTCCCGTCTCGTCAAGTACTCCTCCATGCTATCCATACTGCTGGAGAGGTGATCCTCCGTGGTAGGGCTGTGATAGGCGTACGTGGCCTTCTTGTAAAAGTTGGTCTCCTCTCCGGTGGGTAGGGCAGGGAGCACTGGTGCATGCGGAGTGGTAGGACTGGCCGCCTCTCTTGTACTTTTTATTTTCTTGGTGTTGTTCGTATTAGTATTATTATTATTTACGACAAAAAGTAGGCGTGACCGCCGTCTGGGGTGGCAGTGGGTATTATTGCTATGATTCGCCTTCTTCACCGCAGCGCTAGGACTTTTAAAGATGATGTTGGAGTCCGGGGAAGGGGGGTCTTCCTCTTCCTTATTATTATGATTATTATTATTATTATTTTCATTTGGTAATAATATTTTGCGGGGTGAAACGCCTTTCAGCGGACTTTCCCCGTTTGTGGCAATACGATGAAAAGGACTGACCACTGCGTTAGGATTATTATTATTATTATTATTATTAAAACGATCGGTTGAAAAATTACGGTGTTTCGCCTTCAAAAAAGGATCCCGAATGCGTACAATACTCGTCGCCAAGTAGTCACTGTGTCTCCTACGATTCTTATTATTATTAGTATTATTATTATGATGAGGA